TTTTTGGCGGTAACCATAATGGTGGTCGAGTAGATCATGTTGTGCGGGGTCGAGAACCCTCACTCCGCGCAAGGGGGATGATCGCACCACGTTGTGTTAAAATGGTCAAGCACCCTCGAGGCAGTTACACAGTGCTTGCAACTGTCTCAGGAAGTGAAAGCACCCGCATAAACAAATTAAGTCATACGCCGCTGTCATCCGTACGCAAGGAAGTAAGCACAAGATGCCGAACACCCTTAGCAGGATGCAGCGCAACCTTCATGCGACTCGCCGAATATCTCACGGCGCTTCGCGCTTGGTGATGTGAGAGCCTGGTCCAGTGAGAACCCGGCGTGCTCCGTCCCGGCTTTGTAGGGATGCGAGGTCAATGGTCTAACGACTACGGCATGCACGACTATGAGTACACCCCCCCTCCCCCCCTTCCATTCCCTAACTTCACCCTCCTCCGCGCTCGTTGCGTTCGCGGCAGGTACGAACGCTCGCAGACATGGTGAAAGTGCCTCCGGGTACCGGGGGTGTCGAGAACACGGGTAGCCACCATGGTGCTGGTGCCCATGGTTCTATTGGGAGCGTGAAAGAAGAGGAGCTCGGCGGAGAGGGAGGAGAGAGAGATGGAGGCGCGGTGGGGGTAGCAGCAGAAGCGGCAGCAGCAGCAGTGGCAGCAGCAGCAGCAGCAGCGGCGGCAGGGGCGCCGCGCACGCTCCAGCGCCGGACCCGGGCGCGACGCAGGGTGTTGGAGGTGGAAGGCAAACGGGTACGCTGCTGTTGTTGTTGATGTGGGTGTTGCCGTTGTCGTTGTTGATGTCGTCGATGATCTTGTTGTTCTGGTCGTTGCGGTCGTCGCCGTCTTTGTTGCTGTTGTGCATCGTCATCATCGCTGTTGTTGTTGTTGTTGTTGTTGTTGTTGTTGTTGTTGCTCCTCTCCGTGCTCTTGTATGTTAACATTTTCTCTTTTTTGGGGGGGGTGGGAGGGTGGGGGGGTGTAGGGAAGATCACCAAGACGTTTTTTTTTGTTTCAATGAGTCTTGATGAGCCTCCGCCTCTCAGCCCATATGTCATATTTGACGTTACAAATGCCCGAAAACGTGTGTGTCATTTCAAATCACTCATGATGATCTAGTAAAAGAGACATAACTTGATGCTCTGAACAGGTCTAAAGCTGCTTGAAAGAAAATAGACGAACGGCTCCCCGAACGGTCTCCCCCGCTAGCGACCTGTAAATACCAGTTTAACACAAAACATGAATTGGTTTGCATATGTTTGTCTGCCAACGACAGTTGACGCAGGTGCGATGCAAGCGATGCGATGCACGCTTCCAAGAAGGCAAGCAATATTGTCATGTCAGCAATGTCATTCCTACGTGACTGCTTAAAAGTATGCATGCATACGCATGAAGTATGCATGGAAGTATTTTGAATGAAATGCACACACGTGTATCCTCGGTCCAACACGATGGGCGGGGTGGCGCTCTCTCTGTGTCTGAACTCATGGTTGCTGTGTACAAAATTGTGTTGCACGCATGACGCACGTGCTGCATCCCAGGTGATGATGCCCAACATGATCTCCATCTGCGATGGAGTGGTGCTCTCCCTCTACCTGGCTCCGATCTCGATCTTCAGCGAGCGCCGTGAGGACGTGCCTGGGGACTTGGAGATCAACGAGAGCATGGGGAACATGTCGAGGGGCGGCTATCACTTCGCTAGGATGCCTTCTGTTACCATCGCCAACGTGCTCAAGCTCAGGTGCTGCTGCTGCTGCTGCTACTGCTGCTGCTGCTACTGCTGCTACTGATGTTGCTTGTGTATGTTGGTTGTTTTGTGCTGTGCCGGCGGAGTTGTCAGAGGTGCATGGTGCGAGCTCGGGAGGAAGCGGGGAGAGGAGTGACAGGCCGGCAAGGAGACAGACAGAACGACGTACAACCAGAGTGAAAGGATCAAAATAATTAAGAAAACAGCTCGCAGTTTCGTGGGGTGGCCACCCGATTGGCTTGCTTACATGTGCGCGTGGTGTACCCTCCCTCCGCTCTCTGTTTATTTCTTCCATAAAAAAAAAACGACCGGGATGGGATGGGATGGGATGGGATGGGATGGAACAGGGCTCTGCGGGACGTGATATCGTGGAAGCACAACGGAACAAAGACCATCCACAGGATAGTGGCCGCCAAGGTGCTTAGCGTCTGGGAGAGGCATCACCCTGGTGAGGCGAGGCAGCTGGACAAGCTCCTGCGAGACGGCGACGTCGACAAAGACCTGATCTTCCAGGTACGGGCTCCGATATAAGAGGGTATGGTACCTTATATGAGGGGAAGTTCGATATTAGAGGGTCGAAATCGGTTGTCACGGACTCGACCCGCTATCGTATAAGTAGTTGGGTAGCATCTTGTTCCGGTATTAGAGGGGGCTCCGGTGTAAGAGGGTCGGAACCGGATGTCACGGACTTCGACCTGCTAATAGCATTAAGTTGTTGGGTACCTCTGCTTATTCCGGTATATGAGGCGGGCTCCGATGTAAGAGGGTCAAGGGCCTTCGTCACGCCACCCTCTTACAACGATGCCACGACTGGAGGAGGCGGCTGCGGCTGCTTGACGGCATTTTTGCCTTGCGTTTTGATGAAAACGACGGCACATGGATCGGGTGGGACTGGCTTGGCTCGCCCCTCTCCTCGATGCTCCTTCTCTTCTCTTGCGTTCGTTATTTATTTTTATTTTTTTCAGCATGTTAGTCCCCCCTGTAGGCCCTGGTGCCGAAACCGTTCCTGTGTTGCGCGCGATGTTTTTTTCGCGGCTTGGTTGAGACAATTGTTAGGCTCTGGATGCACTGCTGCTGCTGCTGCTGCTGCTGCTGCTGCTGAAACCGCGGTAGATTTGTACTTTGTGTGCCTTTTTTAGCCTGCGGTGGGCGGATGTCAGCAGCTTTCCGTAGCGGTCCCCGGTTTGCGGGGGTTGGTTAACTCGGGGCATCATCATGCCTGCCGCGAGGGTGCAACGCGTGCGCCCTTTTTCTTGGGCGTGGTCGGTGCAGCGCCTGCGCGTGCTCGCACGTTTTTGTTTGTTTTTGTTTTTCTCCCATCATTGGACTCTGTCGTCTGCCCCTCTGGCCCCTATCCTCCACTTCTACTAGCTAGACGACCCAACCGGGGTCACNCCGCGGTAGAACCGTTCCTGTGTTGCGCGCGATGTTTTTTTCGCGGCTTGGTTGGGACAATTGTTAGGCTCTGGATGCACTGCTGCTGCTGCTGCTGCTGCTGCTGCTGCTGAAACCGCGGTAGATTTGTACTTTGTGTGCCTTTTTTAGCCTGCGGTGGGCGGATGTCAGCAGCTTTCCGTAGCGGTCCCCGGTTTGCGGGGGTTGGTTAACTCGGGGCATCATCATGCCTGCCGCGAGGGTGCAACGCGTGCGCCCTTTTTCTTGGGCGTGGTCGGTGCAGCGCCTGCGCGTGCTCGCACGTTTTTGTTTGTTTTTGTTTTTCTCCCATCATTGGACTCTGTCGTCTGCCCCTCTGGCCCCTATCCTCCACTTCTACTAGCTAGACGACCCAACCGGGGTCACATGGGAGGGGGGGGTTGGACCCCCTCCTGCGGTTCATGCCTGAGGTATTTTATCGCGAGAAGGGTACAGCAATCCCTTCCCTCGCGACTTACGAAGAAGTCGATTATGGTTTACTAACAAACGAGCTTTGCAGCGGGTCCCTTTCGTCCTAGACCAGGATTTAATTAATGAGAAAAAAGCTCTCTCTGCCGGGACTCGAACCGATGACCTGGCCCGTAGTAGGCTGCGAGGCTACCCACTAGACCACCGGGGCGACCGGTAGTGTAGTAGTTGCGAGTTGAATTTTACACTTCTTTCTTGTTGTCTTCATGTAGATTTTCTCTCAATGCTCCGTGAAGAAGGTTGCAAGAACGAATTCGCGTGGTATATTGTATCTGTTGAGAAAGGAGGCCTCAGGAATGAATCCCCATGTGTTACCGTGGACAACTTCGTATCCATCGTTTGCTGCCCTCGGTGTAGCATCTCACGCAAGCAAGCACGCCGCCGCCATCCGCCCGTCGTTTTGCTTTTTGTTGGGGCGTGCAATGTCAAAGTGCGTGCAAACAAGAATAATTTGCATTTTGTTTTTCTTTCACGATGTGTTTGTGTGAAAATGTAATGCGGACGGACGTCCCTTCAGGTGGGGAACGCGGGCCCTACGGCGGTGTACAAGGCTTCCGAGTTGCGGTTGGTCTACGCCCGCCGGGCCTCGGAAGCCCCGCTCCTCATCGCCGGCTTCAAGAAAGAGCAGCTCGAAGCCTCGACGGCCGAGGGCGGGGAGCAGTTCTACGCGGACGACCTCGACGAGGCAGGCGAAGAAGAAGTTTCGGACGCAGAAGAGGGGGAGGAAGAAGCTGCCGCTGACGCGGTGGCCGCGGGGATGGGCAGGGGAAAGCGCGCTCTTAGCAGCAGCAGCGACGCAGCAGCGGGAAGGGGAGATTGTTCCGTCCCTACCGGGAAACGAGCGTACAAGCGGAAAAGTGTTGACGGCGGTTCCCCCCTCTCGCCCCCGCCGCCGACGCCCGCTCGCTCGTCTTCTGCTTCGCCGAGACCGAGGAAGCGTCGGCGGAGCAGGGTCAAGGAGGTCGTGGCCAGCGACGGCAAGTGTTACACCCTGCCGCTGTGCGTCCGCGAGAAGGGCAAGAAGCTCAACCTCTACGTCTCGCTGCGGGCCCACAGGGTGGACGGGGACTCGCTCTTCACGGACCCCTCGGCGGAGAACGCGCCGTTGCAGAGGCCGTACGGCCGGGCGGACATAACCCGCGAGAACTTGCTCGCACTGAGGTGGGTGCTTCGGAAGTGATGAGACAGAGGGCAGATATACCGAAGGTTGCATGATATCCCACACCCCCCGGAGCAAATCTCAAAGCTCGATTACCGTATTTTTGCGTGTTATCGCACCCCCGTCTTCGCGTTTGTTGATAGCGTATTTATTCCGCAACCAGGGAGGTATCACCTCCGAAAAGGGTGGTTTTGGCAACATCTCGTCGAGGGCTTGCCGGAGAGGTATCAGGTTGGTGTTCGCACCCTTCTAGTTGTGGAGAAATACGCTATTGAAAAACGCCAGCACGGGGGTGCGATAACACACACAATTACGGTACCCGGCAGGGAAGCAATCGGCGGTGCTGGAGAGGGCCGCGTTGGAACCGGCTCGTCGAGGCCTTTCCGACCACGTACCTTTTGATTTCAGCATCCTCTTCGTCGTGCAAGTACTGAAGCTTTTTGACAATCGTCCCGGCGGGGGACGTGGTATCTCACGTCGTGTCATGTACGGTATGTCTTACACCTCCCTCCCCGAAAGCAGGAGCTTCGTGCGGCGTCACGCCGTGTGTCGCACGTTTTTCATTCGCGAAGGGATTCTACGTGAACGTCGATGAATCCTCGGACCCTGGGGTACCCCTTTCTCGTTTCTCTGAAAAGGAGAGAAATGTACTACAGAAAAAAAGTAAAGGTATTCAATTCAACGACCACGGCATACTCCGGTATTGGTGGTGGTTTTGCGTGTGCTGTGCTCCTCGTAAACATGTTGATTTTTTTCTTGCTGCACGCAGAGCGGTTCGGGACCTGGTGTATCGCAGCCCCACAGTACACCCGATCATCGCGGCGGACGCCTTCGAGATCTGGGAGAACGTGCACGCCGCCGAGACCCCGCGCCCGGACGACGACACCGTGGTCATCTCTGGCGCGAGGACGGCCGACAGCAACTTCGTCCCGCAGGAAAAGGTGCGTGTGTGTGTGTGTGTCTGTCTGTGTGTTGGTGTATTTTTTTTTATCGTTAGCATCGACCTTGTTAACGGGCTGACAAATGAGAAGACGTGAGTCTCCGTGCGGTGTCCGTGTGTTGTTATCATGAGCATCGGCCGCGCTAACCGGCGAACCAATAAAAAGACGTCAGTCTCAGGGCGGCGTGTTGTGTTTTTTTACTTGTTGGCTTCCACCGCGCTCACCGGCTGACCAACGAAAAGACGTCAGTGTCAGCGCGGTTGAAAGCAAAACATGATTCTAGAGGCCAGGCCACGATCTGGGGCCCCGTGAGGGTGCTTTGTGGGGGAGGCAGTGTGTGTTTGTCTCCTCTCGTCGAATCTTGAACTCTTTGTAGTGCTACTGGTGCAGTATCGCCTTGCGTCTTGCCTATGACTGGTATCGCCTTGCACACCAATAGGGAGTTGCTCGGTTGTGGTATTCATTACGAAGTTAGAGGAGCTGATGGCTCATCCTCAAGTTCCACGTTTCTCTCTTTCATGTCTCTCTCTTTCTGTGTCTATCTCGCTCTTCCCCTCCCCCCCCCCCCCCCCCCCCCCCCCCCCCCCCCCCCCCCCCCCCCCCCCCCCCCCCCCCCCCCCCCCCCCCCCCCCCCCCCCCCCCCCCCCCCNCCGCCGTCTACCAACAAAAACCATCTTTCGCACGATTGTCCTTTTTCGTTCGGTCAACTTAGTTTACGGTCGGAGAGCTCCGGAGGCTCCGGGGCGTGGAGAGGCGCAAGGCGGTCGACGACCTGCTTGATGGCATGCTTCGGTCGCCGTCTGTCATGGCCGGCGAGCTCGAGGAGGCCACCCCAACACCCGCCGCCGCCGCCGCCGCCGCGGCGGTAGAAGAAAATGCCAAGATGTCGGCAGCGGGGACAACAATCAAGAACCGAGCGGGGGGCGAGCAGCCGGTGGCGATACCACCACCGACGACAGCAGCAAGGAAAGCCACTCCTCTNGGAGGAGGAGGCCGGGGAAGAGGCGGGGGGTCGTCGTCGTCGTCGTCGTCGTCCGCTTCAAAGAAGATGAAGATTTCGCGGCAGAAACTAAGTGCTGGTGCCGGTGGTGGCGGTGGTGCTGCGGCGGCGGCCGTGCCCGCCCACGAGATGCCCGTTACGGCGGTCTCATCCTGCTCGTACTCGTCATCGTCGTCTGTGTCTTCCTCGCCGGGGGTCGGTAGCGGTAGGGCAGCGACGCGGGCGTCGAAGAGGAAGAAGGCGTCGAAGCTGGAGGATGAAGACGAGGAGAAAGACGAAGAGGAGGAGGAGGAGGAGGAGGAGGAGGAGGAGGAAGCTGGTGGCACCTCCGGCGCCACGGGCAGGCCGGCGGTAGGAGGCGGGGCGGCGGCGGCGGTAGTGGGGAGGGGCTCGAAGCGACTGTCTCCCGGCCGAGTGGAGGAAGAAGGCTGGGGAGCCGCTACCGACGCCGGTGCGGCCGACCCGTACCCGTTCTACCGCCAGGGGAAGAAGCCCGCGGATGTGAAGGGCAGACGGAAGGGTGACTGGCGGATGGACGGCGGCGGCAAGGAAGACGACGACAGCGACGACGACAGCGAACCAGAGGAGGAGGAGGAGGCGGTCGCGACCGCCGGGGGAGAGCAGCAGCGGCGGCAGGGACGGGGTGGTGGCGGCGGCGGCGGCGGCGGCGGGGGGGGCGGCTCGCCGGACAGCCTCGCCGGCGTGCGGAGGGACAGCTGGCTGCAGGCGGTCCACGAGAACGACAGGCATCTCAAGCTGGAGCTGGAGCGGTTGCGAAAGGAGAAGACCAGGGTCAAGGAGGCTCACCTCGCCCGGAACGTAGAGCTCATGAAGTGGATGGTGCAGGAGCAGTCCGGTATGCACGGCGGGAGCGCCGGCCCCCCGCCTCGGCGGTGATTAGCTAGTTTTCGGATGACTGGATGATGTTGTTGACGTCGCCTTCGCCCCCCGTCAACAGCAGCGCACTCAGATGGACGGAAAAAGGAAAGCGACAACGCCATAATTTTTTCCTTCGTTCTTTGTTGGAGCAACCGAGAGGGCGCCCTGCTTAATGTGTCCCATCCGTACATTTACAACTAGTATTGTTGATAGGGAAGACGCCCTTCGATTTGTTAATGGTGCCTTGGTTTAGGCAGCGGAGCCGTGACTCTCGGTCGTCGCTTGCGGTTGGCAATCGTCGAGGGCGTTCTTTGAGTAGTCCATCGAGAGGGTTGGGGGTTACTTGGTGGCAAAAGTTTTTCCGGCGTGTTGATGATGCTGAGCAGACCCGCCTTGCTCGTGGCGGTGCGGGGAGAGAGTGAGGGAGACAAGAGGGGTTTTGTGGACAAGGAGAGAGGGATTGTAAAAATCAAGAACTTTTTTAAGAGAGCTGTGTTTTTCAACAAGGGGACCGCGCTGAATCGTCCCACGGTTGCTCGGATAGCCCCGCTAGAAATGAGAACCGTTTGTCGTTTGTCTTCGACAGGCACGGTAAGACAACACTTTGTAACGGTGCACGAAAAGAATGGGCGCCCGCCAGCACCTGCTACCCAGGTTATATCTTGGCACTCGAGGGGGGCGGGCGGGGTGCCTGACTAGAACTTGGCCAGAGGGTCAATGAATTGTCGAGTAGTTTGGTTTGCAGAGCGAAACGTCGGTGACTTCTTCCCCGTCGTTGTTGAGGAGAATTGAGCTTCCAATCCCATTGTTAGGGGGGGGGCGGGGGCAATCAGGCTTGATGCGTTTGCGGAGGCGTCCTCCTGTGCCGTGGATTTTACGTGTGATGAACCCATGCATGTTTGTCTAGACGTTTTTTGTGTACAAGAAAGACTGACCGTGGCCGTACGCAACATTTTCTTGGTGTGTGTTAGTTAAGCTGTGAGTGATGGCCTCGGAAACTTGGGGTCTCAGCTCAGTACCAGGCAGATGTCGCGGCAGGGAACAAGTAGATCTGGATCGTGGAACGTGTGTCCCCACGCCGCGACGCTCTATGGCGATTCCAACCGCTCGTTCATGCTAGAGGAGAGCTATACATAGTGGCCGGTCCGGTCAAGCGTTTCTTCGCTTCTTTTTTTTTTTTGTCGCTCAAAGAACACGACGAGAAGCGCGCTTGTTTTAGCGTCTCGACAGAGCAGAGCGGTGGGTGCGTGGTCATGATGCTAGTGCGTCGACGGAAGAGGGGGAGTCTTCGGGCTGTTGGGTATGCATGGTACTCGTTCTTGGTCGGATTCGTTGCCAAAACGAATCTTGTTAGTAGTGGATTGGGTTGGGTCAGTAGCGTTCTCGAAGGTAAACGGTTCACCCACTTCCTTGTTATCGTTCTCGTCAGTACACCATCCAGCTCTTGCCTTTCGTGTTGCGCTGGATTTTTTTTTTTTTTTAACCGATGTCAGCTGTTTTGCTGTGCGTCCATGTAGGTTTCATTTGTCGACTCTTTTCGAGTTGGTCTGCGGCCAGCTGCCGAGCCTCTTCATGGCACGGCAGCGGGGGGGCCTCAGTAAAACGTCCGTTGAGCAGCGCCGATGGGCCTGTGTAATAGCGCCGGTGAAATTGCTCGGCACCAACTGAACCACCGACAAGTTATTCTGTACTCTGCATTGCGCCGCTCCCTCTGAACGGCACCGGTCGATTCGCCGGGGCACCTGCATTGCAACTCCCTACTGTCTGTAGGGATCATCGTTGCACGGGTCGATTTCGAAATCTACGCGAGTTCCAGTTGCATGCGTTCTGGTACATATAAGATGTTACGGTGATTTTGCTTCAGCCACGATCGGACTCAATCATTTCATTTCCGGACGTTGTGGGATAGTAATCACATCTGCTTTTGCCGTGTATTGTCGTCGTGCAACGTATGCGGCTGGGCTGTATCGAGATAGACGGGGGGGGGGGGGG